GACGGTGAAACAGAAAATTGTTTTTTTAGACGGAATCGGGAGAAGCGTGTATTGGCGGCAACGTAACATTGAAAACGAAAAAAGAAGACGCACGAGGACCTGATCACATCGAGCCATGCTATTGTGAAACGAAGTTCGATTTGATCCTCTGTAATTTCAGCTGGAAAGTCAGATTCGTGCCGCAGGGGTTTTCATTCGCTCGAACTGTCCTCAAAAGACGCCTCTAACATGCAGTTACCAACATCTCCACAAATTCGCTTGCGTTTTGCAAATTCATTCGTTAAATTGGAAATTAATGTATTTATTAAACTAAGCGGTGTATATACATATTTCGTTTCTGGCAGTTTCCATATGAACGCAGTTATGGAACGGGAGTCATTTTATCTAACGTTTCTTGGGTGTTGTATTCCGAATCGTTTGACGATTCAGAATGGAGGTTGATCGGTTTCGTGTGTTATTTTGTAAAATAAAAAATATTTATTTTGAACACTTTACAATAATCATATATCTGTTTATATTTGATACGATTCACGCGCGTCGTGCGTTTCTTCTTTCCTGAATATATATTTTATTAGTATATTCCTCTTGGACTCTGTTTTACTGGCACTACATTCTCTAGAATGTGTGTCACGATACATGTACGTAAGTACGTCGTGGTACTTAGCCACATCGTAAGTCATCACAGCTTTCATTACGCCAATAAGTAAGGTGTATACAAAACGAGAATCGATCGATTTGATCCTTATAAAACTGTTGATTAATGCACTGTTGAATGTAAAGTAGACAGTCCTAATCGGTGAACACGAAGTAACAATGGCAGTGAGTCAGTCTATGCTTACGGTTAACAAAACAATAGACGAGTTTCAGAGACGAGCAGAATTGTTCTCTAACCTACGAACAATGAACGATTGACCGTTGCATTTTCATTCTCGGAAAGTTGGTTGTCTGCATAAAAACTTTGCCCGGCTCTGTAACTCTAGAGATCCTTGTCTTCGGGTCGTAAATAAAAATTTGTGAAACATGTAAAAATAAAATAAGAACCTGTATTGTAAATCTTGGATTAAACTTTCAACACAAACTCAACATGTTTCTGCGCAATAACAAAACTTATACACCGGACTATACATCCGATTCGGTTTAAGAGTAAGAAAACATTGGTTAGACTATGATTTCATAACGATATTAATATAATAATTGTTAATCACGGTATTATTGTACAAAACATTCGAAACACCCGCGGGCAGTAGTCGAGAATACAAATAACTAGACTTATTTAACAAGAAATAAAAGTAACATTCTTTCACCTATCCTACGTATGGTATTGCACATTCTGCGATTCAAGCTTCCATGGAAAGAACCTTCCCAAGAATGAAAAATAAAAAAGGAACAAAAATCAATTGTAACGCTTCGAGACATTTGTTCAATCTCAAACTAACATGACTCAACGCTGTTCACAAGTCATTAAGCATGTAGTTACCTCATACACAAGTAAGTCTAAAATACACAACAAACTCCTCCATTCGAGCTCTCGTATTTCACGAAGCCAGCATCCAAAATTACCGGAGAACGCGCGTGTTTAGCTGACTCGACTGAATATCGGTGGTACAATCGACGCTAAACCATTTCGCATAGGAAACCAAGTAAACGATATAGCAACCAAAAAAGGGAGCACAGCAACAAGAATGAAATCCTTCTGAAAACTTCAAAAGTCGCGATGAAATCTTCAAACTAAAAACCTGCGTAACTACTAAAATCTTTACAGGATTCACGTATCGGTTACCAGATGAACTCGAAACGACCATAAACTTCATCTACTATCTTCCTCCTATGCTCAATAGACAACAAGGATTCCAATTTGTATCCTTCCGCGCCTCTAACACTGTTTTATCCACCGAACATCAGCCATCCATTAAAATTCCTTAACTTAGGACTTCTGATGCGTCCTCATGTGCAAGATCAAATTGTGCTTGTGCTTCGATTTCTTGTGGCACACCGGGCACTCGAATCGTGGCTCGACGCCGCATTCGAACTTGATGTGCCTGTTCAACGAGTGAACTCTTAGATAAGCGTTCCCGCATCGGGGACAAGAGTACCCGGAGGAATCGCGAGTCTCCACGATCGTTTTCTTCTCAGGAGTCTTTTCTGCAATGGCGGACTCCGTTTGGCAGTAGTCCGCGTCCTGATCCTTGTCAGGACTCTCCGGATCCTCGGCTGCCGCGTTTTCCGCCATCTGATTCTTCGCCATCATCCGCAGGTACAGAGTCTGATACTGATAGTACCACTCGATCGGAGCACCTGGCGAGTACTTGCGGTCTAGAAAACAGACAACCAGATCAGTATCGTTCACCGCCGTTCCGCCCGCAAACCAGTTTCCAATGATTCCAGTGATACGATGGTTACACACACACGCACACGCACACACACAGTGTTAGCCGGTCTGGGTTTCGAGGGGAACAGACGTGTATTGTGTGGCGACAACGCGACAAAACTGACACAAAGCACAGGTCGGGCTACACTCAACCGGTTCACAATGAAAGCACATCACATGGATGATTGGAATCACAACCAACAGATCTCCTCCGGGGTTTCAGGCTTCGACCGTCGTAGGTACAGACATTTTCCGCGCGTCTTCGAGGCGAAGAGACGTCTCAAATTGTTAATACTCGTTAGTTCAGGGTTTCTTACGTGTATCAATGCACGGTTTAGGGGATCGACGAGGACGACGTCGTTTTTCGATTTGCAGCCAGTCAAAATAGAGGAGAGAAGTTTAAGTCGTCGTTCTAGGATTAGCAGTTTCTTCAGGAAACTGCGTATGATCATCTTTGTGATGGTACTAGTGATCTTAGAGCGGAGACTCGTTAAACTTTTGTCTTCCATTTTCGGTGATAACGTGGAAGAGAAACGACGTCGGTTTGATATGTTTCTGTCTTGAACATTCGTATATTATACAGTAATCATTTCAATGGTTAATAAACAAATCTTTGTGAACCGTAATTACCACTGTTTTTGAATGTATGCGAATGAGAGATTTGATTGTTCAATGAATGGTAGCTAGCGTGTCCGTGTGAAAAAGAAATTAGACCGTAATTATATGTTTGTATTAACGAGAAATCAGTTTGTATGGCCAAAACCCTCGATCGATGTTAGGTTTTCCATTCTTTCGATGAGCGAATGTTAAATCAGCATAAGACTCGTGGAGTAGGTTACGGAGATGGAATTCTCCCCATGGATCGAACTCGTTTTCCATTGCGACATTCAGTCATTAAACCGACAACTTTTCAGTGAATTCGTTTTATTCCATAAAAAAAATGGAGGACAGTATGTTCGTCGACTCGGATACAATTGTTCGGTGAAGTGTATCGATAACAATGACAGGAATGAAACGTCGCGGATACGATCGACTGCTAAACGGAGAATTGGTGAAAATAGAGTCCACATTCGTTAGAAAATACGATTGATCGTGATTTACAAACTCCCTCCTCGTGATTCAGGTATCGGGGACTTACAATGTACGTAGAAATCGGTTATAAACATTTACATACTCGGCTCGGCGAGCGTACTCGATATTCTCGTTCAAAGTGTCTCGAGATTAACGTTAGTTTTGGCCAGCGTTAATCGTCACGCTTATCCTAACTACGAACAAAATAGCGAACTGAAAGCATCATTCTGGACAAAGAACACTATTGCTCGAAAACTTCGAATCACTTGAAATATTTACAAAAGACGCGACAATATACAATAGATTCGAAGAAAAGCGGGAGAATCCACTTGTACATTCTCGATTGAAAGAATCGAAAGTCACTGCTAGTCGGCCGAGTGATCCAAACTTTTCCAGCCGTAGTGTGTGCTATTAAAAACTAATTAAATTGTTTCATTAATCGTATCTATAGTCGTACAGTCTTATCGCGATTTCGTTAATACGATTAATTCCTTACGGATCAAGGGACCGAGGAACCGCGTCGAGTATTTTAACGGCAGTTCGCTTTTAAGGAACATTGTTTAGCGTTTAAACAAACGTGGAAGATTTCTAAGGCAAAAATGGCACGCACGGGTAATCGTGCGATAACGTAAAACGTCTCTTTACCCAGACTTCTCTTAAAAAGTGATTAAAACGTAACGTTTGTAGATTAACGATGCGTCGGATCGAGTTGAATTTAAACATTTCAACGTAACTTCTAAACTGACCGAAGGTTAAACGTTCTCAAACGCTAACAACGAGCCACGTGCGCCATTTGTTGACCCGGAAAACACGTCTGCCGTTTCGTACGATCGAGAATAAAAAAATTGGTCGAACGTGTTCAACGGATTTTCCGTATCTTATGACGACCCTGATAGTGTTCGTTCAATTTGTACTGATGGTAGAACTTTTTCGGGCACAGTGTGCAACAGAATTTCTTTTCCTTGTTACCACACTCGACCCTCTGGTGCCTGAGCAAACTATCCCGCCATTTGTACCTCTTCCCGCAACCGAAACAAATGTTGATGGCGGCGCTGTCGTTCCGCGAGCTCTTCCCTTCCGATTGCTGCTGCGACTGACTTCCGCTGGACGCAAACTGCTGAAAGCTGGACGATATGGCGTATGGCAGCTGCAACATGGAGAACGCATCTGAAATCGAAAGAAAGAAAGGCAACGTTTAGTGACTATCCCCTAAACTGCTCGGTCGTGTATGCGAAATAGCGACCGCGAGGAATTAGAACGTTGCTGAACGCGAGAAAGAATATCTACGTGTTCCTCTGCCGAATGAAACGCGATTGGATCGATGTAACATGGAAATATCAAGCTTTATTTCTCCGTGGACGTTACAATCAGGTGAACTTGTCTTTATAGAGAACGCTTCTTTGAATCGAAGGTGAAACAAGGATAATGACGCGCAAGAAGAAACTATCGAAGAAATTTTATTGGAACGAAAACAAAAGCACGTATCGAAATTAAAGAAATTTATTTCTTTCGATTTTCGTCTCTCTATGTTCAAGGAGGCTGCGCCGTCAACAATCAACATCAACGGAACTTTACTAAATAATAATTAAACAATAGTAAATACATAACTATTCAGATCCTTAGATAACAAAACGGAAAAATCGAACGTCACAAAGTTAATCGATCGTATTAACCGTTGAATATAAAAATTAAAAATGATAAAGAACCCAAACGTAATAAATAACTACGCTGCGGATTCAGTGGAGAACATTATTTAACCCTGTATAGTTCGCTTGTAACTTCTGCAATTCAGTCTTCATAAATAGGAAGGAATCATTTAAATAAAGACTGACCTTCCTTTATAGTAACGTTTAATAGAAGAACAAACCTTTTTAATATCTTAAAATGTTCGTACTATAAAGGGTTAAGGTAATGTCGGTTCAATCCTCAGTTTAATAAACTAGTCCAAACGGTTTACAATAAAGGGAAAAATCCAACACGTTTCAACTGAAAGAAAAGAAAAGGGAGGAGCAAGGTGAATTCGCTTCATTGTTGTTTGTGGTTAAGGTCAAGATGGCGGTCTAACTCGTAGCGACGATTGTATCTTTTCCCACAGAGGATGCAGACGTGTCGTTTCTTGTTCTCGCCGCACTCGGTGGACCGGTGTCTTCTCAGATTGCTACTGTATTTGTAAGACTTGCCGCACTCGCACTGATAGACATCCGCTGGTCGAGGAATTAACAAGATATCGCAAGGCGAGACACCATCCGCATTGTACCAGCGATTCCCTGAAAAATGAAGTCTCTTAACTGGTGTGAAACCCTGAGAAACAATCGAGTGATCGCCTGACGAAAACTGCACAGTCAAACTCCGTTGTTAGTCACAATTGATTTATTTCTAACTACACCGGATGATAATAAAATACAAAAACCAACGAGCCGTCCACGTTCATCGACACCGATCCAAAACATTCATCCGTTATGCGTGCGACAGTCCGATAAGTCTCGGCGTTATTGCAATTAATATGTACAACTTCACAACGAACTACGAATATCTATCGCAACACACCTGAATATCATCACCAGCAACTCCAACAATTACAATACTCTCGTGACTGTTCATAAATCATTCGACTATTAATAAAATAAGACAAAGTACATTTTTATTCACGGACAAGAAAGTAAACCGGCTCCGTCTACACATTTGGCGAACATTCCGTCCAACAATTAACTCGCGAATACAAAAGAAATCTCTGAATTATTAACAAATTCATCGACAACAATTACCGAAAGTATCGATACGAAATAGAATTAAAACATCTTGAACACAAATAGAACAAATGTAAGACTCGATAATGTCTCACTTCCAAGATGGCGGACGCTCGCGCGGCCATCGCGAGCACGTGGCGCTTGGCGTTCATACACCGTGGAGAGCGGTTATATGGTTTTTCAGTTCGTAACGATACTTGAACTTCCTGTCGCACATGTGACACGAGAATTTCTTCTCTTTGTTCCCGCAGTCGACCCTCTTGTGCCTCTTCAAGCTGTCCAACCATTTGTATTCCTTCCCGCAGTCGGTACACACGTAATTGGCTTGCTGAACGGGCACCAGTCCGTCCGTTCTATAATTCTGTTCCTCCGAGTCCGTTAATTGTCGCCTATTCCTGAACGATCTACCGCAGAGCTGTTCGGTCCTGCGTCTCGCCTTCTTCTCCAGCATCCACAGCGCGTCGTATTCTCCGGTCTCTTCGACACCTGCAGGAGAAGGAAAAACCGGTAAACAATAATGGACGGCGGAACGGAATCTAGCGACAGAAATTTAGCTAACGAGGCGAAGTGTTCTACGGGAGGGTTTAAAGTGATCAGACACAATCTCCACATGTACTGTCAACTCTCAGCTTCAGATTTAATGAACGTACACGCAGGTACAAATACTTGACAAGTTCATCGACACCGATCGACAACGTTCGTTCGTTATACGCGCGACACTCCGGTAAACTCGGCGTTATTGCAATTAATATGTACGACTTCACAACGAACTACGAATATCCATCGCAACGCACCTAGATCGCCACCAATCCGGAAAATTACAATACCTTCGTGATTGCCCCTAAATCATTCGATTAAATAAATATGAAAAAGTACACTTCTACTCACGGACAAGAAAGTAACCCGCCTCCATTCACACATTTGTCAAACATTTTGTCCAACAATTAACTCGCGAATACAATTGGCTCACTAGTATCCCTGCGTCTTAGATACTTGAACAGAAATCTCCGAATTATTAAACAATTCGTCGACAACGATTCCCAAAAGTATCGACACGAAATACAATTAAACATTATTGAATCCAAATAGAACAATATAAAAGCCAAAAAATCTCACATCCAATATTTACCTAACTCGGACTCGAATTTGTTTGGCACCCAATTGTATTTGAACTTTCAGTCGTATACAAAACATGAACATTCCTTCTGATCTTTCGACCACTCGACTGCGTAATGTCTTTTCAGACTCTCTATCCATTGATACTTGAAAAAGATCTTGGTCTTTTCCTTTCACTTGCTTCCCAGCAGTCGGTCCTTGCTTCATCCGCCTCCTATCATTAGAATTCTCTTCGTCACCTGTAGCAGAAGGAAAAACCTGTGCCTCCTTCTATACTCTGCTACTAGAGGACTGCGAGAACTAAAAGCATTTCTCATTGCTGCTCAGTCCATAGCTATTTGTACATGTACATTCCGTAAACCTCCAATACTCGTTCTTCCCGCGTTTAAAGCAGAGATCTACCAGAAAGACTTATTGAAGATTCCACTGGTAGATCCCGGACGAAACGCTCTCAGCTTCCTCTTCTTTTCAATTCCTTCCTTCTTCAATAACCATTGTTATCACCCTTCGAACTGGTAAATAACAATAGGCGATGAAACGAGTGACAGAAATTTAGCTAACGGGACGAAGAATTCTGCGGGAGGGTTTAAAATGATCAGACACAAGCTCCAGATATAGTATCAACTCTCAGCTTCAGATTTAATGAACGTACACGCAGGTACAATTACTTGACAAGTTCGAGCGAATAGTACAGTCTTGCCGACCGAGGCTGGGACCATTGCGAAGAGTCACGTGATCACTGCGATGATATATTGGTTCTTTTTCCGGATGGATGTAACGAGTTAGAAATTTAACTGAACGGAATTGAACGAATAGATTTGTTTGCGAAATAGTTCTCTGTTTTGATTACTTTTATTGGCTGCGACAGTTAAATGTAATTCGTTCGTTAACGTTCTCGTTTTCAGTTGACTCTTTCTGGCGCTTGCTGATAGGGTCCAATCTTGGTCGTCCTAATAATACACTCGCGTAAGATTAATCAAAAGATTGTAATTACTTCCTCGACATTATCTAGTCTTACGGACCCTATACAGATCTATTTCATTCAACATCTCACCTTAAGGATTATCGTTAGACCGAACGTTCCATTGCACGCGCGCGAGCGGCGCAGCATACTCGATTACTTAAGCTACCAAGACGAACGAACTCGGTTTGATTATTTCGCGTGGAATACAAACATCATTGTCACGGTTAAACGGCGCAATTCGGGATTCTGGTAACACCTCAAAAATAGCATTGGGATGACGCGCCGTACGCATTCCATTGGCGAAAGTATCGAGAACTAAGACACGAAGTCACCGTTTCAATTACTTTCTCTCGACTCCTGAACTCTAACTCCGATATTAACCCTTTCATGGCCGTCCGGTGCACTCGGACAAAAGTGAATTTCAAACCAGCTTCCACTACGGACTCTGTGATGTGTCAATAAATAACAAAGAGAAGAAGACAATCGAGCCGCGAAAGGGTAAGAACTTAGCTCGAAACTTCGCGTTTCCGGGGTAAAGAGAAGAGATTCGTCAAAGTGATCAAGGAGATTCAAGAGCTGGTGGTCTCCTTGTCGCCACAGACAAGCCTCTGGTGTCTCCTGAGAGTGTCCAGCCTTTTGTAGCCTTTGCCGCACGCGTTACAGTAGAACTTCTGCCGGTGCAGCCACTCGACCTCCTCTTGCAGCTTCTCCAAAGACGCGTCGCACTTGGTCTGATGCCGTTTTAAGCTGTCCATCCGCGTGTAAGCCCTGCCGCAGCCATCACAACGGAATTGCTGGTGGGACTTAACACTTTTCTGCGCCATGTTGGTTTCGACGGTGGTCAAGATGGAGGAGTCGCAGAGCAGGTAGCTCATGGGCAGCTGTCCGTGGAACGAGACTTCGCAGATGTCATCGTCTTGATCCGCCTTCTCCGCGTTACTCTCCGCGTTCTCGCCTGCAAATACGCGTCAATCTGTTAAAAGGGACAAGGAGGAAGTCCTTCCTTTCGCAGGAAGTGGCATTCGCGCGGAGGCACTGCCGAATAGCGAGAAGCATGCACACTGCAAATGTTACCTCGCGATTGCGTTGCTTTCGGGCAAGGTCGAGAGGCTGTCTAGCTGATTGCTTTTCGGAGGGAGATTTCAACGTTGTTAGTCGGGTCTCACAGATCGATTTTCGCTCGGGTTCTAGCGGAACAAGCGAAGGATCACTCGCAGAGAAAGAGACAGAGAGAGAGAGAGAGAGAAAGAGAGAGAAAAAGAGAGAGAGAGAGAGAAAGATAAAGAGAGAGAGAGAGGGAGAGAGAGAGAAAGAGAGAGAGAGAGGGAGAGAGAGAGAAAGAGAGAGAGAAAGAGAGAGAGAGTTATTCGATTTACGAAACGTTCGAATATGTGATTTTATTTAATTCCATTTTGACGATACTCGGTTGAGATACAGTTTCTGTACGTATTTACAAAGCATAAAATTTTTCTTCGCACGGCATTCCCTTGGTCGGCGTTGTTTCTTTGATCAATGCTCCTTTCCACTTTTTGTTGGACTAAGTCCTTACTAAATGTAAACAATCATTGGAACGGTAATTGTCAGAGAAAAGCGGAAAGAAAATTTTTGGTAGAAATTTTGACGATTTCGGTTGAGACACTCGTTTAGAAGTATTTTCGTGTCTTTTAGTAAATGGAACTAACGTGCTTTGATTAGAAGAACGTTGAATAGCTTGTAGGTCAAGAGAACACTGTACGCACGTATACTTTTCAGGGCAGATTTTCTCCTATGAAAACTGATGCCCGTTACAAAGTTGATTCTCGCTACATATACTATAGTTATACGATATCTTCCGCGCGTAATTCGCCCGTACAAAGTTTAAGACTTTTAACGCGAACAAGAAAATTGTACACGAAGAACAACCCTAACTACAGATTAAACAACCGACTGCAAACGTTTATGCACGAAACGTAAACTCGTACGAATCGCTTTGCAAGAACTGATAAAAAAAAGGTATTAACCGTAATTCATCAACAGCACACTCATCGGTGCATGCGAGAAGGGCACAAACATTCGCAGCCAAATTAACCAAGAAGACAAAAGAAAAGGAAATAAAAAACGAATAATTCGTAGAACGTAAATAAAGCCCAATGCACATTTGCGATTGTGCAACCATTCACTTCCAGTTACAAACAGTTGCGGATAACAAAAAATCCTGAAGGAAGAATAAGGGGAAGAGAATAACGAAAATTTCGAATAGAAGAAGGAATTCCTTGAAACCGTTTTACGGTACAGAAGAACGTCGGCTATCCGAATACTGGTCAACTCGAGTACCGATTACGAGCATATAAATGAGTCACGTTCGAAGACAATGTAAGTAACAACCTTTACATTCTGGAACATGTATTAATCTCATCGTATGTTCGAGTATCTAATTCTCCTTGCCCGATCATTAGAAGAATCGATTAGGGGAAGAAGTTTCGGATAATCGACGTTCTATTGTATTTACTTATAGTTTAATAGATTTTTCACGAATATTAGGACCCCAAGTGAATATTAGGCTCGCGATAACGGTTCGCGGCAAAGGAAGATGAAAGAGTCATCCCCGTGGCTCACTGCGACATCAGTTGCGGGCTGGATGTCGCGAGCAATGCCGAGTGAGCTGATTTCACGTGGGAAATGAACGTCAACGGCTTGACGAACTTCTTGCCGCAGAAACGGCAGAACAGTCTTTCCCCCTTCACTTTGCAATAATTCTTCTCGTGGCGGCGCAGGCTGTCCAAACGTGAGAAGCTCTTGCCGCATTCCTCGCAGATGACCGTCTTCGTGGACTTCTTTCGTTCCTCCACTTCCGGCGAGTCGTAGCTGCTGGCAACGAACTCGAACAGTGTCTGCGAGGCGTCGTGGTCCGTTTTCAGGTACCAATCGAGCACCTCCGCTTGATTCCCTGCGAAGAACGAACAGCTCGCGTTAACTAATTGCCGGGAATATGGCGGCGCTCGACGAGCGGGTGGGGACATGCAGCGGGAAACAAAATGACGCCGCTCGCGCGCCATTATCGTCTGCTATACGTTATTTCGTAAAAGATGTATCGTTCAATTGTTCTCTTTTTCCGTGCGGAACATCGACGAAGGACGAGATGCTTGTCATGGGTACGTGAATTCATTCGAAGAGATTATTATTCTTTCGTATACGTTTATTGATTTCGATCGGTATTATAAATTACGCAGTCGGGGGACGCTGTTACGTTCGCGGGGCAGGCTGTAACCTTTAAATACGGTTCATCCTGCGCGACACACTACGGTTAATATACGTTGCATGCGGTATAAATAAGTTAAATGGAAAATGGATGGGGAAATATTTCGATTCGATATACTTATTTAGTTAGAGTAGAAAGGAATGACGATTCGAGTATGAAGCGAGTTACGAATGCTTCGAACACAACGGTACGATTAAGCCTAAGAAACTAAAAGCGAAATGATAATGTTCTGGAATGGGTTACGATTCGACTGTCAGGTTCACTTTCCTTCCATTAATATGTCACGAAAGGAAACTATCAAAAATTATCTAATATTGATAATTGTATAATTTGATAATACTGCTGCTGTCTTTAAATGAGTAAAATGTATCATAAAAAAATAAGGGGAAAGGAACCACGACATCATAACAAATGAAGTTTTCATCGAAGTCAAGATGATTCGAGATCATCGTTTCAGGGTAAGCCCGGGATAGTTTGACCACATTCTCATAAAGCTTGAAACTTCTTAAAAGTCAAACTTATTACTTAATTACGAGTTTGCAATTCTCAATACAAAGTCTACAAAACTATAACGTTTCTTCGTTGTATCGTATTTCGTTTAAATAAAACGAAAGTCAGAAACTCTGCATCTCGCTGAAATAAAAGAAATCAAAGTTTCCTCGTGTTTCAATTGATTAGAAAATATCAAAATAACTATTAAATTATTTGAAGATACCAAAGCCTATCTTCCCTCGTGAATGGACTATCTCGGGCTCGCTACGCATAGTATATACCATATATTATACACCGTCGCGAAGAACGATCAATCGATCCGTTGTGAATCAAATTATAGACAACCCTCGAATAACACGGTCGGAAACTACAACAATCGGATGATTAATTATATAATACGATGCTTCAATTACACGGTGTCTTTCTGTACGAGTCTAATTATAAATCTCGTGCAACATGACTCTGAATAACACTTAACCGGCCGACAACGCATTCAAGTGTTCAGTGTCAACTGGTTTCTCATGATAGTTACGATCTCCCCAAGAAAAGTAAAACTTCTGATACACAGAAAATCTATCCAGCAGTGCATTAGAAATTTCCTTTGAAAGAGTAAACCGGTTAAGTACTGATGGCCAAGTATCCGAGGGTTGACTGCACGTGATTAATTCGCCCAGGTGGCTAGCGGATCTTTCGGCGGCGGGTTCTCGCACTCGCCGCTCGCGTCGTGCTTCGTGTTGTAGTGATTGGTCAGCTCGTATCTTCGATAGAACTCTCTGCGGCATATGCGGCACCGGTGTTTAGGAAGTTTGCCGCACTCGAGCCTCTGGTGTCTGCGCAAATTTGCCATCCACTTGTAGCCCTTGCCGCACTCGCCGCACATGTACTTTTGCATCGCCTGGGAACGGATCCTGGTGACCCGAGGCCTGTACACCACCGGCGGTAGCTGGAAGTCCTTCGTGTCGACAAACTCCAGGTGTCCCATGTTGTTCATCATGGCTGCACCGGCTGGAACGCGACAGAATTCAGTTACTGCGATTGACTGCGCTAGATGATTCGAAGTAGTTCAGAGCATGTGGACAGCTAACTACGAGGAGCGAGAGAAATGTCCTGCAGGAGAAACGTTGCTTTCCGATGCTAGCAGGATACTCACACACGCGGATAAAGGGATTCAAATTCAACGAAATCGTGGAGACTACGGTCGAAGAGATGAGGTGTTCTAGCTACGGTCCTGTGGATTAGCGCACGCTTGGAATGGAACGGTAATTCGAGAGTCCACTGTTGAAGGATATAACGTCCATCAAAGTTTTAGTGATACGATTGCATCAGAGCTGCAGGAATCGATTAATATAAACGCTTTATAAATTGGAAACCGGATCGAGTTGACTGGTTTTAGAAAGATTGTTAAAAATGATTTCCTTTTTATCGGACTTGAGTGGTGATTCTTCTTGTTTATATTAATTTTTTCCGTGTTTTATACATTTCAAGGGAAGATGTAAAAGTGAATGGTATGAAGTATAAGGGTTCTAATCCGAGCTGCACTAATCCGACGAGCACTACAGTTCCAGACTACCAAACCACACCCTTTGCCTTCTACTAAGTGATCGGAGCTCTTCAAACGATCTAACGCAGTGACTCGCACAATGCACAATGGTGTTCATGATCAATAACTTTATTAAATCGCTGAACTTTGGGAAAAATACAATTTGACGGTGTTGGTCGCGCGGCTCGCGTAGGCGAGTTATTGAAAAAAGGATAATTGATGGCGGCGTTACAGAAAAACATAAGGAACCGCGAGAAGATTGCATGACACGAACGATTAACCCCTTCACTGTAACACGTATCGGTTATGATGTAAAAGAAACATCTTTCCATTCTGTATTTTATCCTCGAGGAACATACACCAAGAAGACTAATGTGTTCGTTGTGTATGTCTCCGACAGCCAGCATTTTATACGTCGACGAATCACGTGGAAACCAGAAAGTTCATCTGATTTCATTGTTACATTTTTCGAATACTTTATAAAGATAATAAGTGGTATTTAGTAAAACGCTGTAGTTCTATAGCATGTCATGGAAACGAGTGGCAGTGAACGTATCAAGTGAGCTTAAATAGGAACAACATCTAATTACTCAATAACGGAATCATATAAGATGAATCATGAAGGAGCGGAATACTTAAACATCTCATAATCTCAGCATAGAACCATAAAAGTAATAAATAATAATAATATTCGTTCATATCACTACATTCACTCCATCGAACATCGCAACTATTGTCCTCAATTCGTAAT